GAATGTGTAAGAATATTTTTCTTGTTAGCCTGGAAATTTGACTCAGATTAAGTGGAAAAAAATGCCACTTAGTGAAATTCTTGAAATAAGAATTTTTTTTTTGTCAAATTAAGGGATTTCAAAAACGAGACCAAAAAAGATTTTATTTTTTGGCTGGATACAAGATTTTAAAACTTGGTTAGATGAACTGTTTTTACAGTGCAGGTTGTTCAATTAAATTAGTTAAAATTTATTTGAAGCAATACCTGAAGTCTGTTATGTGCCTGCCAACATCTGCTGACATCATGAGGAACATCTGTTCATGTTAACCAGCAGCTGCAGACTGAAGCAGTTCTAGGGGGGGCCCCAGAAAATGTATTTTTTTACAGCCATTTAAAGGGCATATGACTAAATTTTTGGGGTTCTATATAAACTAAACTCTGATTAAAAGTTATAAATTACTTTTTTATTGTTCTGCATTTGTAGCGCCCCCTCGATGGACGGCGCCCTTAGCCTTTGCCTACACTGCTTGTGCCACATCTGGCTCTTTGTGCCCACCTTCGCAATCAATTTATAATTTAATCTACTGGTTCAACATGGTTGCTTATGAACAAAACGGGGAAATAAAGACACCAGAGAAGGTTTTAAAGCATTTTGGAAAGTCCCTTTTCTAAAATACCGTYCACCARTTAGTCCCAGACAGTTGCAGCTCTGCTCAAAGTAAGTTTATGTTTAAGACAAGCCTGTCATTTACTGGGAACCAGCATTAGATAACAATAAACTCTCACTGAAAAATCAAGTTTACATTAGCTGCACAGTTCCCATCCAGCCATTCATCCTGTCGGGTTTATTGGGCTGGTTAGAACTCATAAAGTCCGTGTGACTGACGGAGTCAAACACGCCATTATTTTTGCTCAAGCTAAGGATGGAAGTGGCGTTTAAGAAGTGTAGTTGTGATCTGGGTTCATGATAAACCACTAATGATCATCTTTACTTCGTGGCCTTTTACATGACCTCTTTTAACRTCTGCCAGGAAAGCCTGGTGCTATTTGTGGTCACAAGGCATTAGTTTTACTGCTGTTTGTCATTCGTTAGCAGCGTACGATTCCAGTCTGTGAAAAAATAATTGTCAAGTCGACAAAYGACAAAAAATGCACTAACGGCCTATTTTCTGATAATAAAAGTCAATGAAACGCTGTCATAAAGTTGGCTTCTTTCGAACCCAAATATTGATGCAATCCCAGCTGTTTTCAGAGTTGGCACGCCACAAACCTACAGTTTGTTCTGCCTTTCACCGCCCTGTTTATCCAAGCAGCTCGGATCGAACCACAATCCGCCCCCGTCACCTCCCGCACCCCCTCCTCCCTCCTCCTTTTCTCAGTTTCTTGTGTTTCACAGTGATGTATGTGCAGAGACTTGGCTGTTTACAGTGGGAGAGACGCAGAAGTCACGCTGACAGGAATAACCCTAACGCACTTTCTCTCTCGTGAAAACACAACCAGAGTCAATCGGGTCAAATCTAAACCTGACCTGTGGGACCTTTAGAGTCAAATCAAACTAAAATATCCAGTTTGTGAAGTGGAGTCAGAGGGAAATGCTTGCACACAGGTCATTGTTAATGCTGTAAATACCAGACAGCATGTGTCAAACTCAAGGCCCGTGGGCCAAATATGGCTCACCACAGCCKTTTATGTGGCCCAATAAGCTGCTTTAAAGCCGGCTTTGACCATAAATACATCTCCAATGATGCATGTTAATGATTTTACTATTTTTATCACTAGCTTTGGAAAAAACTGAGCTTCTGCTAGATTAGGGTCCGCTAACAGCTAACTAGCAAACTAGCATCAGCAGGTTTGTGACTGCTCCACCAGTCGAAGACGTGACATAAGCTGTGTCCAGATTCAGAGGCTGGGTCCTGCCAAGGTCATCATAGCTACGTTTCCATTGACCATGAAAATAAGCAAATTAGAATTTTGAAAATAAAATTGCTCAATAGAAACACGTCAATTTCGAAAAAAAATGATGTTTTTCGACAAAATGTTTTTGCGCTAGGATGAGGTGGTTTTTCAGCCGTATTGAAATTGGTGTTTTTCGT